GATGCATGATGCTTGCAGCCAAAGGAATCAGATACCGTTTCTTTTAGAGACTAGAGTTTGAAAAAAATTTATAAACACGTGGTTTTACTGTGCACGGAGGATTATTACAGAGGTAAACTGTTTCTTGAAAGAAGTTTGAGTGTACACATTAATCTCCTTATCTGTAAGTATGAAATTTAGACTAGTATTGTAAAGACCAGGGAGGGAGGGAGCCATCCATGTTGGGTAGGGGCTGGTTATTGGGGTCAGAAGTGCACAAGAAACACACTCCTCACCTAGCAGCTGTGTGACTTGGGATAATAAGTCTTGACCCTTCTGAAAGGCTCATAGTGACCCACCTCAAAGCTACAAGGATCCAATGAGTCAAAGTATGTAAAGTACTTGGTGACAGGCTTACATTAAGAACTCAAACAAGGGTAGGTTTCCTCCTAGTGGAGCTGACAGGTTCGTATTGACACACTTACATGTTTAGTCTTCCATGGAAATAACAATATATACTTGGACAGTCCTGGTCCATCTTTCACTATAAAATGGGTTGACTATGACTAGGGTGCCCAGTTTAGATCCATCGCTCACTCTCGTGATGGAGATCTGGTTTCAGCTGGCATGCACCGTCAAAAACGGCTCTTAAGCATAGTAATACTCTTGAATCCTTGATGCCGGTGAGTACAGACGATCCATGGCGCACAGAGCTGCTTTCACCTTGCAGACGGTGTCGTGCTTTCCAACAAGCCTCAGAAAAGCAATCGTGTATTTCTAGGGACAGCTGCATCTCAGAGCAGGACTTTGTGCATCTCTACGAGGGGCTGGAATACCGCGTACTATGTTCACGGTGCGACAGAAACGCAACCGTTTCTTTTCACCTAGTGTTAACATGGAGCTGGGAGGGTAACTTGATGTTTAAAACCATTTTAAATCCCATAACGTTTCAGACCCCATTTGTGATTTGGAAAAGACTCAACACTGGCTTGCAATATTTTAAAAACCCACATTCCCAAATGATGCAGTAACCGTGTTCATTTTTAAGGGCTCCCGATGGACACTGCAAGCAACAACCATGAACGGGAAAATCGTAAGTTTGGGATGTCAAGACGTTTGACCTTTCGTGGTCACTACTCCTTTGTTTTTGTCCCTTTGTCCCCTTTTCTCCTTCCCTTTCATGACATTTTTCAATGGTATTTTTTTCTCCTCTGTTTAGGGAGCTATAGAAATTCAGCCGGATCAGATGCAGGTCGGAGAAAATACTTAAGTTGCTTTCAAAGTCGTCTTGGAGACAACATTAACGTTTTACCTCCACTTCGTCTGCAGACCGTGAATGCCATCTTGATTGTTATCATGGTCCCTGTTTTCGATACTGTGGTGTATCCTCTGATTGCAAAATGTGGTTTCAACTTCACGTAGGTGACTGCTTGGTTGGGTTGGTTGAGGCTCCCTTGGTCCCAGGGCTTTACAGTGGGCTGCGCTCCCCGTCCAGGGGCTCTGTGCAAAAGACGCCTGCAGCCCCTCCCATAGCAGCACCTAGATAACGGGGTTTGAAGAATGAATTAAACAGATGCAAGTGCGTCGAGATTTCTGAAAATATCCTTTAAGATAAAAGTGCCGTTAATGGAGGCCTGAAAAACTCTCTGATTGAGACTCTCTTAGGTTGTAGATGATAGCAGTGTTCATTGTAATCTCAACTTTAGTTTCTATAAATTAAGTGTAAATATGCTAATGAGAAGGTATATTCCATTGATCCTGCTTAGTCTTGGTCATGAACAGCAGAAGGAGAGACCCTTTCAAGCCCGTGTGCTTTCGTAGGGAAGTTAGTTTTGTTTGGGGGGCTGGTGGGGGAGGCGTTTCCTTTGGGGGCTTATCGTTGGCTCTTCTGTATGAGACTGGCTGGGAGTCACTCTCTTCTTGTCCCAATCAGCTCCTTAAGGAGGATGACAGTTGGAATGTTACTGGCTTCCATGGCCTTTGTGGTGGCTGCAATTGTGCAGGTGGAAATTGACGTGAGTTTTCCTCTGATTCTCCACTATCTTCTCCTGGTGGGCTCAGGTGGTGCATTCAGAATCTTCCTTCTCCAGGACTGAGAGGATTAGGGGAAGCCAGGGCTGTCCCTAGAAACCAAGCCCTGGAGCTGCAGACGGTGTGAGGAAGGGGTGGACCGCAGGTTCTTATCTCTGCAAGGGTGCAGCTGGGAGTACTCAACTGGATGGGCTTCATTAGGATAAAAAAAGTCACATAAGTAGCTTGCATTGATAGTACAGTTTTTGTAACAGGAGAGAAGTTTATGGAACGTGTTCTTTTACTATGTAAACTCCTAG